TATCTGAGTATTTTGTCCCAGGGGAGAGAAGCCTAACAATGTTTTTGTTTTGCAGTCCCCAAATGGGAATACTGATTATAGGCTGGAAAAGAAGAAAAGTAAATCTACTCTATTCTATTTTAACGGATCTGTTTTTTTAATACAATCTGATTTTTTTACTTCATGTAGGCATAAAAAGCATCCACAGAAAATTCATAATTAAATCTATTTCTGAAAAAGGGAAAAAATAATATTTAATGTATTGCTATTTGCTAAAGCATACTTCATACCCAATAAGACCAGTTATTGAGGAAGATTTGCATGTATTTTTAAATTAATGGGATGGGGAAGATTCGGTGAACTTTCTTCTACACATACTTTTCAATCATTACATATATTTGACTTACAAGTAATTATTTTAAGAATATTTTTAAAAACGTTCTTTGTAGATTTTATCAAAGTATAATAGTGAACATTGCTTTACTCAGTGAAATTTACATAATCCTTTTGCTGCCACAGAATTTAGCTCCACTTTCTTTCATAGCTAAAACAAGTAGTTCCTATTTTGTGTATGTGAAGATACATATGCAGTGCATACAGTGATTAAGGATGAAGTATGCATGAGGTTCAGCTAGATCAGGCATGTCCAAAGTCCGGCCCGCGGGCCATTTGCGGCCCGCGGCCCGGTTTAATCCGGCCCTCGAACAGCCCTCCCTGCGGTATGTAAATGCGGCCCTCCCACGGCCCTCCGGCAAGTCCCATGAGAGAGAGAGAGAGACAGACAGACAGACAGAGACAGAGGCACTTGCACTTCTGTCTCTCTCTCTCTCTCTCATGGGACTTGCCCCCTCGCAGGGCTCCTCATTGGCCCTGCGCCCGGGTGCCCCGCCCCCTGGGAGAAGGGCGGCCAGGAAGTCCCTTTCCCGGGCTGGCCCCATCCCAGGCGCACGTGGCTGGGGAGCCATGCGGGGAAGCCCCGGGATCCCCGCTGGGAGCAACCCCCCCCCGGAGCCTTTGCTGAGTGGGCCAGCCCTCCCGTAAGCCGCAGCCCCGAGAGAGCAGCCCCTGTGATGTCCAGCCGGCGCAACTGTTGGCCAAGCAGCAGCAGAGCCGGAGATGGAAGGTCAGTGGCAGGGGGGAGGGAGGGAGCTCTGAGTCCACAGAGCACCGCTGCGAAGTGGCTGCGGGGCAGGTGATTCCCCCCCCCGGCTTACTTGTTCCAGTCTCGGCTGGGGCATCACTTCCTGGGCCGCTCCCTGGGCAGCCGAACCAGCCACATGTCTCCCCGTGCTGGGCGGCAGTCATGGCTGGTGCAGCAGCCAGCGGGAGCATCGCTCCCCGGGAAGCCGAACCGGCCACATGTCTCCCCAGCCCGGGCCGGACGGCAGTCAGGCATGAAGCTCGCCTGGCTGCCGCAGGGCTCTCCGCCGCCCGGCCCCACCTCGGCCCCATCGGTGGCACCTTCCTCGGGCACTTTCAGGGAGCCGCCGCTGCTGCCCTCGTTGCTGCAGGAGAAG